TTACTCGTGTTCGTGCGCGATAGATCGAGAAACGCCGCCGGCGAGCCGTAGTCGAAGCGTAGATTCGCTAATAGAAAACGCGGTAGCATACTTACGTTTCGAGGTATATAGATTATTCTTATAAGCAGATATTACGTCTAGTATACGCTGCTCGAGATCTATAAAGTAGAAGAGTTAAAAGTTAAGCGTGTCGCGAGAAATTAAAAGAAAACGCGAAAGTGTCGCGGATCCGTGCGCAGCTTCACCGTCTGCGCAGCTTCCCCATCAAGTACGTTAATGGAGCAGGCCTGAGTGCTACTAGAAAGGCATGGCGGCATTCTGCTGTACGAACCCGTTAATGATGCGTTGCTGCTGCTCTGCCGTCTTAATGGCCTCAGCAGCACGTCGATCAGCTGCTTCTGCGCGCTTTTCGGCTGCTTCTGCGCGCTTTTCGGCTGCTGCAACAAGCAGCTTTGCCTCTGCAGCCCGTTCCTCCGCCGCGGCCGCTCGCTTCTCTACTTCCTTGGCGAGCTCTTCTTGCTGCATCGCGTCCTTGAAGAGGTCGACACCTTCATCAAGCAGATCCTCAATCTGCTTGACTCTACCCTCTTTCTCCGTGACATCTGCCTGCAACTCCTCAATCTGGGCCTCCTTCGCCGCGACATCCGCTTGCAGTCGCTGGACGAAACCAAGAATTTGCTGTGCCTGAGTGTCGAGTGCCAGACGAAGCCTCTCCTCGTCCGACGAGGCGCTGATAGTGGCCATCAGGCTCTTGTACATGTCACGCATGCTCTTGTCCTTCTCGTCCACCAGTGCCCGCATAGACGCCAACTCCTCACTTCTCTTGTCGTTCGCCAGCGCATGTATCTTCTGATCCCCCGTGCGCCCCAGCTGCTCAGCCTGCAGCAATGCCGAAGTCCGTGCTTGTTCGTCCTGGGCAGCGACCAGCTTGCTCTCCAAATTCTCCTTGGCAGCCTTCATGTTGTGAATGTGACGCTTATGGTTGTCAATCTCGCGCTCACGAGCCTCGCTCGCCTTCTTGGCGTTTCGTGCCTCTTCCTTGAGCTCCAGCCAGCGTCTCTCGAGCCCAGTCATCGTGGGCTCGTCAACTCGCAGGCCGTCCAGAATGCGACGCAGCTCCTTATCCCGCCGGAAGTCCTGACGACCATGGTGTCCACGAGGTGGACCATGTCGTGACGGTCGAGATTCGTGAACGAGGGATGGTCGTCGCACCTCAGGACTGGAGGGCGGCGGCGTGTCGCCGTATTGCACACGCTTGCGGCCCATAATGATATCTCTCTGGTCGATCTCGGCCAAGCGACGTGCAGACATCGTCAAGGCAGCCGTAGGTAGAGTATGTTGTTTAGGGAAAGCTTCAAACAGAGCGTAAAGTTCAAAGACGTCCCAGGGAAACCGCGCTAGCCGCTAGCTCGTAAAGCTTATTTCTAAAAGAGGAAGGAACGCGGGTTCCCGTGACAGAAATCCCGTGATCCTGGTTCGCACCTGCAAGTATCCATATTGGCCATCTCCAGGTTTCGATCTGTCACAAATCCCAACTTGGTCTTCTCCAATGGCAGATTGCAATCGCCTCGCAGGGGTGATTCGTCGATCAACGAATTCGTCGGAAAGTGATAAATCATTTCTGCGTATCCCACTGACAATGGAGCGTTCACTTGGGATACCGGTAGGCCAGTCAATCAGTCTGCGAGTAGAGCCATGCTTGCCCATAGCAAACCGTGAAGATAACAGCTCGCTGCACAGTTCCCTGCACAGTTCCCTGCAGACGTCCTCTCCTTGCGTCTGCTGTGCGACCATACCTAGCGTCGTCTGGACTTACTCAATTTCGTCGGAATGAAGTTTGCGTCATTAACTAGCATTCGCATCGATTGCTTATCAGCCCTTGAGACAACCCGGGGTGCGACTCCATGCATGGTCGCTTGCGGGAGATCGGAGATCATCTGCTCTGGCACATGGAAACTGTTCTCTAAAACTGCGATCTTCACCAGCATAATATACTACAACTTCGCCTTCGCCGCACCCTTCGCCACCTCCTCTTGATACTTCGTCTTCAACAGCCTTCTCAAGATCTTCCCGCTCGCACTCTTTGGAATCTCCTGCGTGAACTTCACACCGCCCCTGAGTCGTTTGTGATTCGCGACCTTGGCCGCGAGCCAGTCGACGATTTCCTTCTCTAGAGATGGACTGGCGTCGATGCCTTGTTTTGGAACGACGAAGGCGAGGGGCACTTCGGTTGCCAGATCTTCGCGTTGGACGCCTAGTACTGCGACGTCGTCGATCTTGTCGTGGGAGGCTAGGAGACCTTCGAGTTCTGTATTCTTGTGGTCAGCTAATGTCCAACATAAGAACGGCAGTAGACTGACCTGCTGGTGGCACTTGGAAGCCCTTGTACTTGATGAGTTCCTGCTCCAAGGTCAGTAAACATGTCCAATGGTAGAGTCGGGACTTTCTACTCACCTTCACACGATCGGTGATGTAAAAGTTGCCATCCTTATCCTGATACCCAACGTCTCCAGTCTTGAAATAGTCATCATCGGTGAGCGCATTCTTGGTGCCTTCGACATTATTCAAGTAGCCCTTGAATACATTCGGTCCCTTCAACCACAACTCGCCAACCTCTCCTTTCGGCAGCTCCTTCTCCTCAGCGGACATGTACTTGGCGGTAATGTTCGGGAGAAGAATGCCGACACTGCCAATAGTGCTCTGCCAGCGGTCCCATGGCTGAGTATGTGTCGTTGGGCTGGTCTCTGAAAGGCCGTAGCCTTGCTTGATGGGCACCCTGATTCGTTTGTATGTTGCCTCGACCAGTTCTCGTGTGAGCGGCGCTGCACCTGAGTTCATCATTCGCAGCGACTTCAGGTTGTACTTGTCGACAATCGGATGCTTTGTGAGGAGGAGAACGACAGGCGGGACGACATACGACATGGTGATCTTGTGGTTTTGGACAATCTTACACCAAGCTTCGATGTCGAACTTGGGCATGACAACGCACTTGAATCCACGATATGCGGTTTGATGGATCAGGCATGTCAATCCGTAAATGTGGAAGAACGGCAAGAATGCCAGGATTGCGTCTCCATCTGGACTCTCTTTGCTCGGTTTCCACGAAAGCGGCTCCTCGCCGACTGTGATCTGAAGGGTGTTGGCAACGATGTTCCGGTGGCTCAGCATGACACCTGTACGACAATCAGCAATTGTTCATGAACTCGAATCAGACATTCCTACCCTTTGGCAAACCAGTTGTTCCACTGGAGTACACCAAAAACGCAAGGTCTTTGTCTGGGTTGACCTTTGCTCTTCTAAACCGTTGCGTGCCCGAGATATTCCTCACAGACGTGAAGTGCTTATACCTCCCCTCCGGATCGCGAGCGTCTCCAATCAACGCGATGCGATCCTGCGGTATGCCCACCTTCTTACAAGCCTTCAAAGCAACATCCACAAACGGAAGCTGCGTGAGAAGTGCCTTCGCTCCGCTATCCTTCAGTTGATATGCCAGCTCCTCTTCTGTGTACCCCGGGTTCGCTGGCGACACGATGCCGCCCGCCCAATGCGTTCCCCATGTCACGGCGGGAGTATCGATACAGTTCGGCGTGTAGAGGGCGAGGACATCGCCTTTCTGCCAATCCCAGAGACCTTTGAGACCCTTGCCAAAGTCAATGGCAGTGTCCTTGACTTGTTTGAAGGTGTAGGAACGATTTGAATCGGGATCGACGTAGAGGACTAATACATCGATTAGCATTGGCTGCGCAGGTCAAAAGCCGAATGAGGACAGCCTCACCTTTGTCGTCTGGGAACTCGCGATCCTTCCGTTCGAACAGGAACTGGAACAGACCGACGTCCGGGATGTCGAGGGATGGGTATGGGCTGGAGGTAGGCATTTTGGAGGGATTGCAGAACGGCAAAGGCCCAGAGAGGGAGAAGCGAGAGGTGCCATATCAACAACTCACTCCCGTCTGTGTAGCTCCATGTCCTCGGTCGACTTCCGCCGAGGCACGACATTCACTCGCCAGAAGGCTGGGCCGCCGGTTCTTGCCGACCCGGGGCCGGCAAGCGGAGTTAACCACGCGCCGACCGACTTAGCACATGTCGAAGACAGCCACGCTTGCGATTGACCACCTGAACACCACCAAGATGAACCCGTCATCGCTGCTCTTCCGCCGCTGCGTCGGGAGAGCATCAGCGCCGACCAGAGCCTCCCAGCGACGATGGGCTCAAGTCCACGATGTGCGCTTCTACGCCGCCCACCAGAACCCTTCGAAAGTCCAGGACAAATACAGACAAAAGCTGGATCAGAAGGCTAGGGAGAAGGGGCTGAAAGATGCCGAAGAGCTGCGAAGTGCGTACGCGGATAAGATCAACGAGTTCAAGAAGAAGGCTGTGGTGCCTGGTGTCAATGCTCCCCTCAGCGAACAACAGCCACCTCGACCTGAGAATGCGGCCGAAACGATCCCCTTCCAACCGCCTCCACCGCCGCAGCCTACGCAAATACCGCAGATCCCCAAGAGTGATCCACCCGTAAAGACCCTGTCGAGCTTCATCGACGTCGAGAAAACCGCCGAACTTCCCCAGAAAGAAATGGAAACAATTTGGCGGCTACGACACGTACGAGATGGACAAAGCCTGTGTGCAGTCATGCAAACAGAAACCTTCCGCCGAATAGCAGCGACAGCGAAGAAACATCCACAGTTCATCCTGCCCCTCCCACGAGAAGGCCAAGGCGCAGAAATCCACTTCCTGCAATGGACATTCCCCTCACCAACAACCGCCACAGTCCTCTTCACGCACCTCGCAGAGTTCAAACTCCGCGGCGAGTACGCGCAGCCGCACACGACAATCACACACCACTTAGATCTGGCGGATGAGAAGGGATTGGTGCTGTTGGAGGGCAGGGTGATGGAGAATAAAGGGATTTCGGTGGACGAGGGGAAGTTTTTGCTCATGACGCTGCAAAAGTTCTATGGGTTTGAGGCGCATACGGATTCGGCCAAGGCGAATGCTTCGAATCGGAGGAAACTTATGGAGCAGTTCAGTGGTGGGGATGAGAATTTCAAGGTGGAGGAGTTGCTTGAGGAGGCGGAGAAGGTGCCGTGAAGGGCTCATCGTCGCACACAACTTGGCAAGGAAAGGGAAATATAAGAAATAGAGCGTGTGAGAGGGGATGTACAATACCTGTACTCCAGTCAGTCACTGAGTTGACAATGTAAGAAGCTCAAGGGAGGGTCAAAGCTGACAGAAAGAAAGCAGATAGATACCCCAGATCCAATCCATCAATCACTCAAACATTAGATTTACCAAATAATCTATACCATCTATATCATCATCATGCAAACGCAAATGCAACCCAAAACAACAGCCCCCAGACTCCGACCATGCCCCACCACCTTCCCAGCAGCAGTAGCAGCAGACGTCGCAGTCGAAGAAGCAGCAGATCCTGAAGACGAACCACTCGAACTGCCTCCCGTCGTCGCCGCCGTAGTCCTCGAAGAAGAAGAAGAAGACCCAACCACAGTCGACAACGCAGCAGTAGTGCTCCTCCCAACCCCCACCAACGTCCCAGACGCATCACTAACCGCCATCCCATCGCCAACCGCAACTCCACTCCCACCAGGCGACAGCGTCGTCCCATCCACGACGAACGCACCAGATTGCCCTGGAACAGCACTAGCCGTGATGGTCAAACTCCCGAACGCTAGAGTCTGCGCGTCGCCGTCTCCTGCACTCGTTGCTGGGGAGAGGGTTGAGGTCCCCGAAGCACCGATCGCGACAAGACCGCCTGATATGTCGGCGCTGATCGTCTGGCCGTTGATCACGGCTGCGGAACCGCCGGGGGAGAGAGTCGTTCCGTCGACGACCATGGCGTTGTCGGTGCCTGTTGCGGGGGAGGCTGTGAGGGTGAGGCTGCCTGCTCTGAAGACGCTTGGGTTGGGGTTGGAGATGGCATTGAGGGTTTGCGTGGTATCGCCATTGAAGGCGACGAGGCCGCTAGAGCCTTGGCTGATCGTCTGGCCGTTGATCACGGCTGCGGAACCGCCGGGGGAGAGAGTCGTTCCGTCGATGACCATGGCGTTTGAAACGCCCGGCGAGGCTGTGACTGTGACACTCCCTGCGGCGAAGACGTTTGAGCCCTCGCCGCCTACGCGGTTCAGCGCTTGCGTGTTGCCGCCATCGATAACGACAGGACCCGCGGAGCCTTGAGAGATCATCTGCCCATTCACCACAGCCGCACTCCCGCCCTGGGAAAGCGTCTTCCCCGCAACAACAACTGCACCCGTGGCTCCAGGAACGTTGGCAGCTGTGATGGTCATATCCCCAGCCGCAAACACACCCTCATTGTTGTTATTCTGCGCAGCCGCCGGCGCAAACGCAGCAGTCTGCGAACCTACAACCACACCCGCCCCTGACGGGTCGGCGCTCACGGCTACCCCTGAGATTGTGGCTGCTTCGCCGGGGGCGAGCGTTGTTCCTGCTACGACGACGCTGTTGCCGGGGAGTTGGGTTGCTTGGATTGTGTTACTGCCTGCGGTGACTTGGGCTATGGATGGGGCGGGTTGGTTGTTGTTGTTGTTGGAGCCAGCTGGGCTGTTTTGCTGGTTGGATGGGCTGTTCTGGCCGTTCGGATTGCTCTGCTGGTTGGATGGAGAGCCTTGGTTGTTCGTGCTTGGGGTATCTTGAGGCGGGTTCTGGTTGCTGGGACTATTCTGGGCTCCAGGACTGTTTTGCGGCGCTGGTGATTCCTGAGAGCCTTGGCTGTTCTGAGGAGCTGGCGAGTTCTGGTTGCTTGGACTATTCTGAGGCGCAGGGGAGCTCTGCGCGGGAGTATTTTGAGAGCCAGGCGAGTTGGGATTCGTGGGTGAGTTCTGATTGCTTGGACTCTGCCCATTGCCGCCATTCGATGGTGACGGAGCAGGCGAGCCACCCGCATTGTTCGATTGAGGAGGGTTATCGTTTTTGCTCGGCGACGGCTGCTGATTGCCGTTCGTAGATGGCAGATTGTCAGATTCAGGAGCAGCAGGGCGACTAGTCTGCTGAGCTGCTGGACTCGTAGGCGTTGGTTTAGGCGAGGGGACGGTTACTTCACCTGCTGATGGCTGGGATTCAGCAGGCTGGGACGACTGGCCTTGACCTGGTGCTGGGGTAGGACTGGCAGGTGAGCTGCCGCCTCCTCCTGGTAGTGAGGGCTTGACTTCGTTGGCTGCAGCCGTGAGGGCGATTGGAGGGTCGAATCTGTGAAGCAAAACGTCAGTCAGCATCGCGTTCATCTTGGGATGATGTGAACACGAACAGCCAGTTGACTCCATTCTCATCCGCAAAACTGCACGTCTTCCACGCCTCCTGCAAGTCCAAAACCGGCGTGGGGATCGCCATGACCGGATTGAAGTTATCCCAAATCGTCGAGCACGCCTGTGGTGTGCATGTAGCGTCTACGCACGACGCTTCGCAGGGGTGAGCGCAGCTGTACGCACTGGCCGGAATCGGGTAGTTGAAGTCTGCAAAGTTGATTTGGGTCCCGGCGGTGGCGGATCTGACGTCCCCATTACCACAGTTGGTGCTGACTTGAGATGAGGCTAGGGTCATGATCAGGTCTTTGTAGCCTGTGCCGGGGCCGTATGAGAAGCCGTCGTATTGCGCATAGAGTGTCTGGAATGACACGTAAACGAAGCCGCTGGTCAGTGTGAGGCCATCGGTGACAACGGTTGGAGCAGGTGTCGTTGGCGAACCCGATGAGATGGCTGTTCGGTTGCTGCAGGAGCTCTGGTTGCCAGTGTCGACAGGAAAGTAGTACAATTGGACCGGTCCACCAGCAATCAAGCAAGGCCAGCTGGTGGCGTTGAAAGAGTTCGGAGCGAAATGAGAGGGATACCCGCATTCGTGGTGGAGTAGCCGGGCGTCGTTTGACTCGTGGCCGTTATAATCCCCAGTGAGGTTGCCATATCTGAACCAATCGTAGCAGAGTTCGCCAGTGTTGGGGGTGCCACAAGGCGGCGACAAGCTCGTCGTTGGTGTGGCTGTCACGTTGAAGAGAAAGGTCGATGGATACCCAGAGGATACGGTGGTAAGAGCTTGGGTCGCGGGCTTGATGTCGGCACGAGGCGAGCCATCACAGAGCCTGTAGGTGCTGGCGTCCGTAGGGTAGATGACAGTGGTATACGTGTACGTTCCATTGTAGACGGTCGAGGATTCCGTGATAGGCCAAGTACGATTGGCGACCGAGGCGTCGTAGAATGAGGACGATTCGAGTTGCTGGCTTGTGATGGCAGACCAGCACGATTCAGCTCTGGCCAGGTTTGGGTCGTTGCCGGTCCAGACCACTGGCTCGAACGTGAGGGAGCCGTTTAGGTATGAGAAGGGAGCATACTGAGTGACCAACACCCCCGTCCCATTGCCAGCGGAAGTAGTTGCATTGGGAGGCGGCGTGATTTGTGCGAGGTTGTGGATCGTCCCAGAAGCATGGTGTGCCGTTGCTGATGTGTTGGCGCCGTGCAATGATGAAGTTAAGGAGGTGCCGTCTGATGATGGAGAGGAGGAAACTCTGCTCGCGGATGAAGTAGAAGATACGCTGCTCGACAATGAAGACGAAGATGTGCTCTCCGAAGACTGCACGCTCGAAGAACTCTCAGAGGTCGTACTCGTCTGTGAGCTTCCAAGTCCTTGTAATATGAAAGCTCCAACTCCGTGCGAAGTAGAGCTAGTCGAGTTCGATGAGGTAGCGACCGACGATGTCGTGTTCGAAAACGACGAGGTCGAATTCACGAGAGATGCTTCCTCAGTATCAGTCCATGTTCAGTACCCTCGATCTGAAGAATGACACTCACCAGCAAAGACCTCACTCTTCAACAACACAGCCAAAACCGACAATCCCGGTCGCCACGCCATGCTATCTCACACAGTATCCAAAAGAGAAACCACACAGGATGCCCGGAAACAAGACCAAGATTGATGAACAAGGAAAGAATCTCACCTTCCAGTACAATAACGAAAGAATAGTAGTCCTCCAGCCGCAACAGCAGCATCAAACATTGCCACCAACATAGCGTCGTTGGTCGTTGTTCGTTCAGCTTGTCCTAGACACATTTCGGCTCTGTTAGTAACTAACCACACCCAAGGATAGCAGGCGAGCAAATGAAGCCGAAGATGATTCTCTCGCTTGCCCCTTGCGGCTGATGTATAAGCGGAAGCGAGAAGTCTGGCGGAGGGAAGACAACGTGCCTGGCGAGATCGCTCCAACCTTAAGTGTTTTTCTGTTTCAGCTCCGCTCTGCCCTACGGGTCTATGCAGGTTCGAGAAAGGAAGGTACCGAGAGCGGGAAGTATTCTCCGATGCTTCTTCGAGATGATGGTCGTGACTACTGTCGTTAGGGTTGATGGAGTATCTCCGTATGCTTTCGTGAGCTAGAGATGAAGATCTTCCTATCGCCTTGTTAGGAATCAACATACAGAACACACCTCACCTCCCCTCATCACAACCCATCCACCTTCCCCTTCCCTCCCCCATTCCCATCCCC